ATCAATCCAAAGGTTTCTAATAGCTGAAAAGTAGTTAATACTTTTCTCCCATTTCTTCCTCCGGAAGCCGATCTTACAATTCTCTTAGTGCAAGATACCATATGAATTCAAGTCGATTCAGCAGCTGTTCAAATTCTAACACAGATAAACACGTCTTCCTAATCTGTCCCATCTCTGAGAGATTACGTACTTTAGGAAGGGTCCTTTCCTTGGGAACGCGTAATTTAATCTCTTCACAGCTAACATGCCCTGACACACTATAGACACATGACAAAAGAAGTGACATTTTATTACAACCAAAGTCTTACTAATATTATTTCTTTAAGGATGAATGTCTGTGATTGAGATGCTGGATACAGAGAGAACAACGACATGGTGGCTGAATCCAAAGCTAGTAAAATTTTAAGCAGATCCATTAAAATCAATCAATTTTAAGCAGATCCATGAAATAAATTCCAAGCAAGTCAAATTCTAAGCAGATCCATTAATTTCAGTGGGTGTACTCAAAATAAGACTTCATTATTAACAACACTTAAAGAAAATTAACAGACTAATCAACTTAAAACACTGACTGTATGTGTAAGTCAGACCCAGTTAATTCTACTGAAGAGGTAATCCTAAATAAATCACATAAAACTCAGTGGAATTTATTTCCAAGTTTAGTATTTTTTGGCCCCCATGATTATTTCCAAAGAATAATTTATTTAAAAGAGATTTCTCTTCATACTGAATATTTCTATACTTTTTCTTGAGATCTATTTAATAAAACAAATATAATAAAATAAAATTATGGCACCGAATGTCTATGCTACAAGACTGGATTGATAAGAAAAGCCTAGATAATCCATTTTTACAATATATGAGAAGGCCAAAATGTCTCACCGAGAAACAGCTTCTGTATCTTCAGCATTTTTGTCTTTAAAATCAAGGATCTCTTGAAGGCTTTGGACATACCTAAAAACACAATTTCTGCATGGTTGATATTTGTCATAAAGAAAGATAGATAAACAATTACTTCTCACCTACTAAGGACAAGAATATGAATTTGCCAAAATAATGTTTTTATGGTAGCTTTCAAATTTCAGCACATTCTGTCTTCATATATAAGATACTAATTCTTAACAATAAGTGTGTGTATATACCCATTATATGTTACCAAGGACAAGGACATCTACTTTTTGTAACAGAAGTAGTACATGAATTACTAGCCTTACCTTTCTATTCTATCCACCTACTACTGGAGATTCTTTTTCTCACAATAAAAGGGCCTCTAACACATCAGAAACTCCTGCAAGAGGAAAGGAGAGCATTTTTTCAGGTCTCCCCTTCCTCTTGCAGCCCTTACTTTCTCATCATGCAAATCTGTTTCCTTCACTAAAATAGAGGTCCTCTTTCCAAGAATTATTCAAAATCTGTTTCAAATGTTGCAATGCCACGTTGATTCAATTGGAAATAAGCTTTATTGAACTTACTGGTCACATTCACATGGCACTCTAAACTACAGTTTGGTACAGAGATCAACTGTATGGTATCAGAGCACATTCTAATTATTTTTAATTCAAATGAGCCAAATCTGCATTCTTGGACAATTTGGGAGGGACAGGGCATCACTATGTGAGCTTACTGCTAACCACTGATTCAGCACCATATGCTTGAGCAGAAAAAACAAAAACAAAAGAAGAATGAGTCCAAGGCTCCTTACATTCTCTCTTCAGCTGGGAGGACCTTTCATTCACCACATCATGCTCTGATGCCTGGGCCTTGGCTTGTAAGTATTAATATTAATTGAAATCAGTCTCAGAAACCACAAGATGGTTATATACGTAGGCAAGATGCCCTTAGAACTGCCTCAAGTAATGGATGATAGGTTGAGAGATGATGAAAACCTATGATATGTTGGAAGTCTGGGCTGAGAGTTCATGATCAGTGTTGATACCCCCTGCCTCTGGCACAGAGCTGTATAGGAGGTAAGGGAGAAAATACATGCCAGATGTTTACTCACTGTGCTAGATCAATGCATGAATGCTGTTGGGCATCTTACATCTATAGGACTCTGCTTCTACTATCCTGCATCATCGCATATCTTTTGTAAAATGTCCAAGTTTGGTTTCATGAGGCTTTGTTTAAAAAAAGCAGGCTCTTACCAACTCTGAACAAGCTGAACTGAAGGTGTTTTAAGAAGGTTGTCTGGAAGCAGACTTATTTCTTTCATTATGTTGGCCAATCTTACAGGCAACTCTTGTCGCAGAAACATAAAAGATGTTTTCTCACAAGCGTTGTCAGATCCTAAGGGGAAAATGTCATAAGGAAACAATTTTGAAGCCACAGTAAATAAATTATAAACAATTCAATTAGTTCCATTCAGGATCAGAGGGTGGTAAATAATAGCAGCTTCTCCTATGAAATCCTGGATGATATTTTATCATTAGAGTAAATATAGGTTTACATAAATTCAAAAAGAAGTAATCTGATATTCAGAATTGTGCTAGTAGTTAGACTAATGTGGCTTGGTGTCCCACAAATACCACACTGAATTCTTAACATTCATGATCTTAAACATTCAAGATACATAACATTTTATGTTACTGATTGCAGCTTTTTAGATATTTTAGACTATTCTTTCTTTAAAAAAAATAATTATGGAGCAGTGAAAAACACAAAAATAAAATTCTTCCTCTCCAATACTGGACAGCACAGCAGCTTCTGAAAAAAACCATGGCATGATACAGCTGATAATCAAAGCATACCAGAGAAATCTTCAGCTGAGTATCTCCTTGTCACAATTCTATAGATAATTTGAAAATGAGTTCCTTTTCAGGGGCTACTTGAAAGAGAGAAGAAAAATTTTTGTGGACTATGTTGACAGGATTTTTAAAAATCTTTTCTCTGAGGGAGCATGCATGAGAGGATCAGCCCTCTCATTAGATGGAACGAAGCAGCAACTCTGGGTTGCAAACTGGGATGAGTTCGGGAACTGGGCCCAGGACCCTTCTATTGCCCTCCCAACCAGAGAATCTGCTTCACGGCACCCTATGAATTAGTTCACTACTCCTGTTGAATGTTCTACATTCCCCATTTTAAGAGGGGAATCCTCAGTGTAATGAATATGAGGCAACTGTGATGTCTGCCTGCAGAAGCCACCTCAGAATGCACCACTCCTAAAGATTATATCCTTGAAGGAGGATATAGGAAACAGTGTGCAAGAAAAGTACAGGGCTTCATTGGCTACTCCTGCATCTACGAGTAGGAGATAATAGGAGATAATCTACAAACAACAATAGAATTCTTCAGTGTGACATAAACTGAACCTTGCTTGATGTTGGGATCCAATGGGCAATCATACAGTACTCGCTATCCAGTACTGGTGATTACTCCATGCAAAGTACAGTGGTACCTCGGGATATGAATGCCTCTACTAACGAACATTTCGGGTTACGACCAGCTTCTGCAGGAAAATTTACCTCGGGTTACGACCAACTCAGGATACGTCCAGAGTCACGGAACGGATTAAGTTTGTATCCCAAGGTACCACTGTATATGCAGGGTTTGAGAACATGCTGATGTAGATGATCTGATTGCTTTGATTCTGATACCAATACTGTATGTATTAAAACATCTAAGGCCAAATAACAGTAGTTTACTTATAGTGATCAGTGCAATATCTGATTGGATATCTTTAGGTTCAGCAGAAATTCTAGTCACATGTTGTTCACATTCAGTAGAATCAGAAGAATTACAATGCAATCCATTTTTCTTCCAAGGGTTTCCCCAATTTTTCTCATGCAACACCGCATAAGAAATAGTTACATTGCTAGAGTACAACTTATCAGCTATTATCTCACCTCAAACAAATATACTGAAGCAAGTGGCAGTTGTAGTTTTGAGCAATACTGCTGGAAAATTTTAAATGTATCTAAACACAATCCTAATGTTCTTCGGGATTGCACAACAGAATTTACAGTACTTCTAAGTAAACTAACAAGGACTGCACTGCTAGTTTGGTGTGTGCGTATTAATACAGTGGAACGTTATGATTTCTTAAGCAATAATAGGTATATCATTTAACTGAAGTAATGTTAAAAAAAGAAAAATAGTCATTAAATGTGTATGTGGACAAATATTTGTGTCCCAAACACACATACATTTTATACACACAGCCTTGCACATCCAACTCTAGAAGAGAGCTTCAAAACTACCAAGCACTAGTATTAAAGAGTCTCTCCTAAGTTACAACTGGAAATAATAATCCTTTGGAAAATGGGACAGTCTTTTAAATGGAGGACCGGTCCTTGAAAAGCACATTTGTGACCTAAGCATAACCAAATGTTCCATATGTTCCAGACTCACTGAAGCTGCAGCCAGCATAGTCAGTGACCAGGAATTTGGTGCTGTCCAAAAGTATCTGGGCAGGAGAATAAGATAGGATACCCCACGTGGGTGTAGATTCTTTGCATGACAACACCACAGCCCTCTATTGCACAACGCCTTTTGTAAGCACTCCCGTGAGGCTCGTGGCAATGTCCTTTGCAATCTCTACCAGTGCCCCTGCAGCCGGGCGAACGAGGGCACCTTTTTTTGCAGAGAGGTCGTTTCGCCCGTCCTGGGATCCCCCTCCGCGTCTGGGGGAAGGGAAGGGAAGGGAAGGGACGGGATGGCTTCGGCTACAGACTACGCGCGAGGCCTCGCTCAGCGCTCCGCCCTTGAGGGCCGGGGGAGATGGAAGCGCCTTTCCCCGCACCCGCGAGCGGCGCCCTCCAGGGGTGGTGGTTCTCCCGCCGGGGAAAGAAAATGGTGGGCCGAGGGGACAGGCTTGCAGAGGAAGGAGCCGCGGGGAGGAGCAGCCCGGGCCGGGGGAAGGGACCCCGCTGCCACTCACCGAAATCGAGGAACTGCTTCATGGAAAGCGGGGACGGGGAGAAGCGGCAGTAGAAATCCACCTGCTGAGGGATGGTGGCGGCCGGGGAGACGCTTCTCAGCAGCGCCCGCAGCAATCTCATGGCGGCGGCACGCCCCGAGGGGCGCCGGGGAAAGCAGCGGGGCGAGCGCGGCTCGGCTTCCGCTCCCTCTTCAGCTTGCCCCAGCCGCCATTTGCAGCCTCTCGGCGGGAATGGCCGCCCCACCGGAGCCTTTCCCGGGCCGCGGAGGAGCGTCCGAGGGGCAAAGCAGCTCCAGCGAGGGCCCGGGCGACCTCTTGCCCGCCGTGGGGGCAGGAGGCGGGCGGAGAGGCGGTGCCGCTTGGGTCGCCCGGGAGGAGCGAAACTGCGGAACCCGCGGGAGAAGGGAGGCGCGAGAGCCCTTGCTGGCTTCTCCACGCTGGAAGAATCCAGTTCCCGCACTCAGGAGTTCAATCCTCCCCGCTTTTTTCTTTGCAAACATGGTGGGCATCGTCCTTTTGCTTCGGTGCTAGTGGGGGAGCTTGCTTTCCCTCCACCCCGTGCAGGGTTTCCAGCGGGGCAGGACCAGGTCGCTCCTGTGAGGTACGAGCAGATTGACCCAAGACTGTAGCGGGGCGCCTTGAGGAGCAGCTCTGCCTGAATCTAGCCAGCACTCCTCATTTCGGGGTGGCTCTACCGTCCGTTTCCCTCTAGATTTATGAACCAGTATAGCACGGAACATTAATTCTAATTTATTCTGTTAAGCTGCCAGATCTTCTGTAGCAACTGGAAAATTAAAGTACGTGTCTTTGGAACTGGTAATTTTGGACAAAAGTATGTATAAAATCTTTTACACTTTACTGTCCAGATTACCAGTGTATTTAAAAATACTATAAAACCGTGCACTGTTTTTTTTCCCTTAAAATTCGTCTGTTTTGTTGATTGTGCTGATTATTTTGATATTTTGCTTTGTTCAAATGAAAATGAGCAAAAGTCAGTTCCATTAATTTCCAACTAAATGTACACACACGTCTGCTGCAAACTGCTGTTGTGTGTACTCTATACATACATATATGTGTGTATACATATATGTGTGTGTGTATGGGAGGAGATAGTAACAAGGGAGGAAATAGTTATGAACTCTAGAATTTATTTCTGAGGAAACATGCATGGTATTTTAATTACCCATTAGAAGGAGAGCGGTATTCCTTAACATGTTCATGTGCCGCCTTTGCCTGTAGGGCAAGGATGGGCATTGGGCAATCTTTGGGTTGTACTTAAGATTTTGGGCTAATATGCAAAATTGGGTGAGGAAATAAGCAAGACCAACCTTTCCAGTTTTTATTGGCTTTTGTTTTACAAACTGTATAAAGCCTAGTTAAAGTTACAATACAGTTTTGGTGCTAATTTTCAGTACCGTTGTAAGAAGGCCCATTGAATTAAAAAAAAAAAAAAAAAAACACAGGACCTACCGGTAGGCCTGGCCGCCAGGTAAGAGCTGATCTCTTGATATTTTGAGGAAGTGAGGCCCACGCCGCCACT